TGGCAGCAGCTGGGCTGACAACAGCTGGACTGGGAGCAGCTGGGCTGACAACAGCTGGGTTGGGGGCAGCTGGGCTGGCAGCAGCTGGATTGGCAGCAGCTGGGCTGGCAGCAGCTAGAACCACAGGTGCCACCAGTGGAGCAAGAAGGAAAGCCACAGAAGCTAGTAGCGCAGCAGGCCATGGTGTTTGATGCTGCTCTGTGCTGAGGGTTCGTTTGCCTGGAGAAGGTTTTTGAGTTTGGGCAGTGACTGCCACTCCAGCCCTTTTATAATCCTTGGCTGGCTGCTGTTTCCCTAATTTGCAAAGCCTCTTCCTTGTTTATGTTTATGTAATTTCCCTCTAAATGATAATTGTTTGTTTCTTAGTTACTTGTTCACTCTTCTGAAAGCCTGTAAAAACTTTATTTGATTAGGTGTTCTATTAGGGTTCTTAACAACGGTGACGTAGTCATTAGCGTTCATTGGAAACATAAGTCTGGATCACCCATATTCACTACAATTTTCCTATTGCAAAGAATGATTGACTAACCCTGCTCCTATTTAAGGAGAGTCCAAATTACTCAGTGTTGACCCTTGTAATTGAGTCTTGAGCCTCACATGGGAGTTTAATTCCTTTGCCTGTTTCTTTGATTGGGAAGCAAAGATAGGTTCAACTGGACAGAAAAGATGCCTTTTCTGAATCTGGAAGATGTGGATGGATGGTTACCAGTAATGATTCTTGAGTCCTCATCATGTACCCAGACAACTCTCTGTATCTGTTATCAACCCACTTCGTTTTCACAGCAATCCTAAGTGTGGGTCCTACTCTGCTCTCACAATATGGCGGGGGGGGGGGAACCTGAGCCATTGACTTCTTAGCTTGGCGTTTTTGTGGGACTCTGAACAGTGCGAAGGAGTGTCTCTGGCTTTTTTGCTTGCCCTTGGGACCCTTTTCCTTCTACTGGCTTCCTTGCTCAGCCCCGACAGGAGGATTTCTGGGTAGTCTTATTGTAAGTTGTTATGCTGTCTTCAGTTGATGTTCCTGGGAGGCCTACTATTTTTCTGAAGGGAAGTGAACAAGGAGCGGAGGTCTTGGACAGACTGGAGGAGGTGGTGGAGCTAGGAACAGTGGAGGGAGGGGAAAGTGCCGTCAGGATGTATTGTATAAAAGAAAGGAAAGAGAGAGAGAGAGAGAGAGAGAGAGAGAGAGAGAGAGAGAGATTCCCCAAGGCTAAAACAAATCCGAAGTGGTGAATCTCAAGTCTGAGATTCTACCATCTGATTGCAAAAAAACCAAAAAAACAAAAAAAACTTAGTTTTCTTTTACCGTTTGTGTGTACTAGTGTGTACGTTTGTGTGTGTGTGTAGATTTATGTACACGAGCGAGTGCACGAGTGTGCCACAGAGCTCCTGTGGGGATCAGACCCCGGTGTGGGTCTTCACCTTCCGCCTCATTTGAAGCAAGCACCGCAGGGGCCAAGCTAGCTAGATGGAAGATGCCTCTGGCTTTATGCGGATCCTGCGCAGTCAGTCAAACTCAAGTCCTCACACTTGTCCCTCGAACACTACCCACTGAACTATCCCCCCCCTCCCCCACACCAACCTCTTTGGTTGGCTGCTTTTTCATTCGAAACGGTCCTTGAAATGTGCAGGTGTCCTGATAGCAATCTCAGGGCCTATTTTATTCATGTTGAAATCCGAATTCAGCAGGATGCTTGGTACCGACGATACCAATCTTGGGGTTTTTAAGGCGTTGCAGTTGATGAGAGCCTGGAGATACTGGCATTGTGCACGGCATTATTGTTTTGGGATTTTTCTACCTTGGCACTGTTTTCAACAGCTCCCGCAGTACAAGATTTGAGTCAATCTTTGTGATTATAAACTTAAGTAATCACTAACAATGGAATACTGTGCTCAAGGGCCAGTGAGCTAGCTCAGCTGATGAAAGACCTGATGACCTGAGTTTGATCCCTGGTACCCATGGGGTAGGAGGAGGAGGAGCTAACTCCGCCTACCTGACCTCCCCACGTGCAGTCAATTTAGGAAAGAAGTTAAAAATATGTCACTTGAAATTTGAGAATTCTACCTCTCTGCGACAAAGGGAAGAGGAATCTGAACATTCCCTTACCAGTCTTAAATAAAACAAGAACGTGGGATATGACCAGACTCTCTTTTTCCACCACTAGAGTCTGTTTCTTCTATATTGATTTTCATGGAAATCAAAGCAGATCAAAATATCTATGATGTTTCTCTTTGTAGATTTTTAAAAATCCTTTTATAATACCAGAAATTTATGTCCATGATCTAAGGGGAAATGCAGGTGCCTGAACATTGATGTTATAAAAAAATTATCCTGCTTATTCTCTTAAGATTCACTACTTCAATTTGGAGAGTACCCAGACCATACCTGTATGGCAAGAACAAGGGGCCTTCCACCTGTTTTTTTTTATTATTATTTTAATTTTTAAATATTAATTACATTTTATTCACTCTGTATCCCAGCTGTAGCTCCCTCCATCATTCCCTCCCAACCCCACCCTCCCTCCCTCATCTCCTCCCATGCCCCTCTCCAAGTCCACTGATAGGGGAGGTCCTCCTCCCCTTCTATCTGACCCTAGCCTATCAGATCTCATCAGGGCTGGCTGCATTGTCTTCCTCTGTGGCCTAGTAAGGCTGCTCCTCCCTTGGGGGGAGGTGATCAAAGAGCCAGCCACTGAGTTCATGTCAGAGACAGTCCCTGTTCCCATTACTAGTCTCCACTTGGAGACTGAGCTGCCATGGGCTACATCTGTGCAGGGGTTCTAGGTTATCTCCATAAATGGTCCTTGGTTGGAGTATCAGTTTCAGAAAAGACCCCTGTGCCCAGATTTCTTGGTTTTGTTGCTCTCCTTGTGGAGCTCCTGTCCCCTCCAGGTCTTTCTATCGCCCCCTTCTTCCATAAGATTCTCTGCACTGTGCCCAAAGTTTGGCTATGAGCCTCTTAACTGTTTTTTTTTTTTTTTTTTTTTTTTTTTAATATTCGACTGTTTAAGGGTGATACTAATGTTTGAGTGGTTTCTGTTTTAAATAGCACGGTCCTGGTTCTGGGGGTTTCTCCGGCTTTATTCATGTTCATTTCCCCAGTGCTCTAAACCGGTCCGATCTAATTCGGTCTTAGATCGCTGAAGGGTGAAGTGTGGGTGGTTGATTCACCAGCTAGATGAACACAGCGTGTCTTCCTAGGGCATCTATGCGTCTGGGCTTTGTAATCCATCCCAGTGGCCTCAACGGGGCAATAAACAAACCTCAAGGACTTCCTCTCACCCCAACTTCAATCAAGTAATAAAGTCCCCCTTGAGTTTTCTACATTCTTTTGATGCTTCTGAATTGAAGACCTTCTGAGCAGAACGTGTCTCGTGTCTCAACCTTTAGCCTTTTTCTCCAGCTGGGAGACAAGAGATCTGGGGTGCTGAGCGGGCTGTAAGCCCAATTAAGCACAGATGCATAGGCTGTGCCTGGATGTGGGGTTGTGTTCACGCAGAAGGAGCGCATCGTTCCCCGTGCCCGTGTGCAGGTCCTACAAGCCGTGCTCCCTGGTTATATGCCGACTGGTGTTTTTCTAATCGCTATGAAGTTGTACTAGGGAGGCCCCACTCTTTTCTTCTCTGTAAGTTGAAGGAAAACTCATATAGCATGAAAGAACCACTTTAAAGTGTATAATAAAGTGACATTTTATGTATTTCATGTATGTGTGTGTTGTTTGATACATGCACATATGAGTGTGTGGGCACACGGTCCTAGGCATGTGATTATGGCGAAGGCAGGAGAAAGATATGAGGAATCTTTCTCTATTTCTCTTCTTCTTCTTATTGGTGTGTGTGTGTGTGTGTGTGTGTGTGTGTGTGTATGTGTGTGTGTGTGTGTAAGCGTGCACACACCATGAAGTGTATGTAGCTGTAAGTGAACAACTTTGTGGAGTCTGCTCTTTCCTTCCATCTTTACGTGGGTTCTGGGGATATAACTCAAATGACCAGATTGTCAAGACACTGGGCCATCTTGCTGATCGCTCCATCTTCTTATCAGAGACAAGATCTCCCAGCGAGTCTGAAGTTCTCCGCGTTGAGTAGGCTGGGTGGCCAGAACGCTCCTGGGATCTTCCTGTCTGAACTCCTCCAGTGCTGGGCATCAGCAGGCATGTTCATGCCTGGCTTTTCATGTGGGCACTGGGGGTTTGAACTAGCATCCTCTTCCTTCCACAGTAAAGGCTCTCACCCACTGTACTATCCTCTTAGCCTCATGCTGCGTTTGAAACCTCTGGTGTCAAAACTTTCTTTTATCACCGCAGAAGAATACCCCACCACCTTTAAACAACCACTTGCTACGTGCTGCTTGATGCTGCTATGTGACCAAAGGGTTTTATCCCGCGGCGTGGAAGCTCCATTGTGCGTCTCCTGCTTCATGCTTGCTTTGCTATAGAACGTTCTTTGGGGACCAGAATAAGAACGGTGGTGGGAGGTGGCCAGCCCTGTTCTGCGTTCCACTGCACTGCACTTGAGAGGATTGGACAGATGCGAAATACAGATTAGCAGGCTGGAGTTCCTCTCGCCATTTTCCAACTGAGATAAGAAGAGCAAACATCCTGCCTTACTCAGCTTGAGCACGATGGGTAGAGATGATCTTATTGCTGGACGCTATGGCCTTGTTGAGGTTCTAAAGCAACTTACGAAATCTTCAAGATGACAGTCGTCCTGGTTTGATTTGCTGTTGCTGCTATAAAACACTCTGACCAAGAGTAAGTTAAGGAAGGAAAGGGCTTATTTCAGTTTATACTCCCAGGACATCACTGAAGGGTGTCGGGGCCGGGGCTGAAGCAGAAACCATGGAGGAGCAAAGCAAGCTGCTTACTGGTTCACTCCTTGGCTTATGCTTAGTCAGCATTAGCATCTTCTGGTTCTGGGTTGTTATTCATTTATTGAAAATTTCATATCTGAGTATTGAAGTATTATATTAATATAATTTCTACCTCTCTCTATCTCCTCTGATTTTTCTCATGTCCCCATCCCCTCCCAAATTCATAACCCCCTCTTTTAAAGCTAACATGTATTTTTACTGAGTTGAGCCTCCTTACTGTTGCTGATATGCATATATGTTTAGGGCTGACCACCTGGGATTACATGACACGTCAGAGAGCTATCCCTGGAGAAAAAAAAAAACAAACAAATGACCCTCTCTCAGGAGCTATTGATTGCCTACTATAGCTCTTTATCTAGGGGTGGGATCTGGGAACTTATCTCTGTCTAGAATTACTATTCAAGAGTATACAAAGAACTAAAAACAAAACAAAAACGAAACCAAAGAACCAAGAAGACAAATGGCACAGTCGAAAATGGGCTGTAGTCTGAACAGAGAGTTCTCAAAAATAGAGTTTAAATTGGCCAAGAAAGACCTTTAAAAGTCCCCGACGCCCGTAGCAATTAGAGGAAAGCAAGTTGAAACGACTTCAATATTTCATCTCACCCCACTCAGAACGCCTAAGATCAAGAAAAACAACTGACAAGTGCTGGAGAGGGTGAAGGGGAAATGGAGCCTTTGTACACTTTTGGTGGGATTTCAACCTGGTTCGGCTGGCTTTTTTACACAGCCCAGAACCACCTGCCTAGGCATGGTGCTGCCCACAGTGGATCCTCTTACATCGATTAACAACCAAGAAACTTTCCTTACAGACATATTCGCAGGCCAGTCTGATCAAGGCATTTCTTCCTTGGAGGCTCCTTCTTCCCACGTGACTCTCGATTGTATGGAGGATAACAATAATATTATTGGATCATTGAGTATACCTTTCCCCTTTGGATATCTGAGGATAATACTGGCATGCCACCTGTTTATTAGATGATTTACATATCTCTCCATAAAAGGGACATAACTTCTTTTTCAGACGAGAAATAGTTGCCCAGGCAAGTGAAGTGACTTGCTCAAAGAGTCATAAATCATTGCTTACGAAAGCTGTGATTAGGAACCTCTTATGCTATTATTTTGCTGTCTTGAGTTTATGGTCTTTCAGTTTGCCCTACACCTTGGTATCCCTTTGAAGTGTGAAAGACTAATATGTAGACTCACATTTGAGTGACTAGATGTGCCGGCAATGCCTCAGACACCTAAATGACACACCTTTTTTTTTGTAAAATTGACTTTTGTGGAACACAGAAACCATTTTTGTTCAGGTGAGGGTCCTAATTATTGTTGTACTTTTTAATAATGTATTTTGGTTGTGAAAATAATGGGCCATTTAGTGGAAAACAAAGGAAAGGGATTATTAAAGGAAAAACCATAGTTAAAGAAAACTGCAGTGCCATGTTAATATTTTGAAAAATTCTAATACCAGCATTATTAACAAATGCCAAAGAAAACAAGTATTGACAATAATTTTTTTACCATTGAAGAGACCAAATGCTTTTTATTAAGTACAAATCCCAATAGGCTATTGAAATAGGACTGGAAATATTTGTAGTTACATATTATATGCTCCTCTCCACATTGTAGGCCTTTTGTTGGCGTTGAAGCCAACAAAGACTGCAAATGAGTTTACCTCCTTGGCAGTTACGTAGCTGTGACAATAGCTGAGTTATCAATACTGAAATTCAGAAGAGTTTTAGGGTTCTAGTTGGTCTGCTTTGAAGGGTCATCTTCCTAAGTTCTTGTCAGAAGGTTTTCAACAGCTGGGCTCAGAGCAGCTGGGCTGGCAGCAGTGGCAGCAGCAGGCTGGGCGGCAGCAGGATTGCCCACAGTAGGATGGGCGGCAGCAGGAGGCCTGGGCATGGTGCAGCTGGCAGCAGGTTGGGGGTGTGCTGCTCACCACACAGCAGGGGGGCAGGCAGGTGCCCTCCACGCGGCAGTCTGGGCGGCACCATCTGGTGCGGCAGCTCACGGCTCCGCTGCCACCCTCCTGGCCACAGCCAATGCCACAGCTGGTCTGGCAGCAGCTGGGCTGACAACAGCTGGACTGGGAGCAGCTGGTCTGGCAGCAGGTAGGCTGACAACAGCTGGACTGGGAGCAGCTGGGCTGGCAGCAGCTGGGTTGACAGCAGCTGGGCTGGCAGCAGCTGGAGCCACAGGTGCCACCAGTGGAACAAGAGGGAAAGCCACAGAAGCTAGTAGCACAGCAGGCCATGGTGTCAGGTGCTGGGTTGAGAGCTGTGTAGTTGAGAGGAGTTTCTGAATTCTGGCTGGTGATTCCACCTGGAGCCTTTTATAATCCTTGGGCTCTGTGACAGGTAACATTTTTATCTTGTTACTCTCAAAACCAGACTTTCTGGGCCTCTGGGTTTCTTTAAACATATCTGTAAATGGGTATTTCCTTGTTGCTCAGCGAATACTCATCATATATGTTCATCTGAGGTGGACATGTTAAATGCTTTCAGCCCAAACAGAGCCATGGTTTCCACTTGAGTCTGAGCCTCGGTTTTGTGTTTGTGGTCAGGGCACCTGACAAGGTGACTCTCACCTGTAATTGTAATTATGGGGACACACTCACCAAATCTCAATTATTCAGAAAAGAATCATTGACCCCAGGTCGCCCTTCAAGAAGACTATCTTTATGGTTCTAGTTTTATTTTACTGGTAAAAATCAAAGTTTCTCATTGTTGCACAGTGGTAAGTTCCACATGAACAGGAATACACATATCCCTAGAGATACTGTTTTTGTTGTTGTTGTTGTTTTCTAATTTCTGTGAGCGCTTCTAAACTCAAGACATCAAGAACATTTGTCCCTCAGGAGAGCATACAGAACAAAACCTGTTGCGCTCCAATGTTATTTAAAGAAGCGGCTAAAATTTCTAATCAGCAAGTGGGGAAAACACTAATAAAACAGCCAGGTGAAATTTATACTTCTTGATGATAGTTAAAAATTAATACCATGTGGATCAATACTGTGAGCCCCCCAAAGGTAGGGTTTGATTTCAATTTATGTCATTTTTATATTCTTATACCATGTGCCCTGAAAAAAAAAGGGGGAGGAGGGTTTTGCCCCAAAGAGGACAGCAGTTTAATATACAAAGAGGAGCCAAGGAGACAGAAGGAGTCAGGAAAATACTTTTATTTTTGGTTCATAATGTTTGTAAGGGAGATTAAAAACAGGTTATTAACATGTGCTAGCAGGTACAAATGCAAACACCCAAGTTTTATTCTTAGCCAACGAAGCGCTAAGACAGTTCCTGGTAGTCCACAAAAAGCAATGTGGTGTTTGCACCAAGTGTTCGGGGTTACGTGAGGTGACGTGAGCAACGCATAGTGTGACCAAAAGTCACTTTTTGCTTCTTGTGGTAGCTTTGTTGAGCCCATGAGTATGGATAGAGGCACAGAGTGGCTTTTTTATGAGATGCGGATACTGTTTCAAACAGCGGTAAGATTACACTGGAATACTACGCATGCCAGTTTCAGTAAGAATGTATGCTCTCTGGCCACTGTGCCTGTAGGCATGAAGTTTAAAATGGTCACCTGTAACCACTGAGTAATAGAAAGAAAGACTAATAATTAATTTTTTGACCACTTCTTATTTTAGGAGCAGAAAGCAGTACGCTTTCGATATAAGTATCACAAGCTTGCTCAGGTCTACTCTGCACAGAGCACTAAAGGATTATAAAGAGGGAGTACAATTATCTGTTTCCTGCTTTGCTCTGGTGCACAGAGTAGTGAGATGGCAATCCAATTAATTAGGTTAAAGGAAGGAATTAAATACAGAGCCATTAATTCCCCCAAATTCTACACTCCAACATGGGTTTTGTGGCAGGAATGACTTTTTGTTTTTCTCTCAGCCTCAGTTGTTGAAAGAACAGTGTGACGTGAGGACAAATAAATTCACAGAGGTTAAATGAACGTCTTCCCCACAAGGGGAGAGCTGAGTTTGAAAGCCTCCTCTCTGTCTCCAGCCCAGTTCTTCTCATTTTATTTTCTAGCCTGGTGCTTTCCAGGTTCAGTGAATGTCGGTAACACTCTTTGTGCGATTGCCTTTATCTTAAATTCAATGGATTTTCTGGTTTTCTGTGTTTGTCATCCTTATTGTGGATTCCTGTGTGTGTGTGTTTGTGTGTGTGTACATATGTGTTTAGGTTTTTCTGTATGTGCATATACATGGAAGCCAGAACTCAACCTTGAATGTCACCCTCGGGAACTGTCCATTTTCATTTTTTATTTTTATTTTGTGCCAGAGTCCCCCAGGGTGACCTGGGGCTTGCTGAGTAGGCTGTGTCTACACTGGTACTAGGTAAACACAAGCCTGTACAGGCATGTCTGACTTCTTCCATGAGGCCTGGGGGGGGGGGGGGGCCTTTTGCCCTCCTTCTTGCACAGCGAGCACTTTTGTTGACTGATCCATCTCCCTTTTGCCTTCATAAGAAACTTCGTAAACTATCCCAGCACCAATTTCTATCATTCTGTGAATGGACCCAGCTCCATAGAGCTTACTTACTAACTCCGTTGGCTGATAGGGTAAAAAAAAAAAATACTAATTCTCTAAATAGTCCTTCCACTGTTGCTCTCCACACATTCGGTGCTCTAGCCAGAACGTATAGATGACCCTTGAGACATTTATTTCCATACCTCTGTCTGTGCTGTTTCCATGGATGAGGAAGCCACTTTCCTTCTAATCTGGGCAACAAAATTTTAACTCATATACGATACTAACGTTTTTCAAACTTCCTTCCTCTTTCTAAACAGTAGGAAGGTCTTCGTGATCACTATACCATATGTACACTTTTATTTCTCGTGTTCTTCTCTTTCATTGTCTCGAGGTAGATTGTGACTCATCTTCACAGAGGCCATTAACGAAAGAAGCATTTTAAGCTGGAGAGATGGCCCAGTGGTTAAGAACCCTGGCTGCTCTTCCAGAGGACCCAGGTTCAATTCCCAGCACTGACAGGGCAGCTCACAACCATCTGTAACTCCAGTTCTACGGGATCTTGTATCTTCTTATAACCCTGAGAGGACCAGGCACACACAAGGTGAGCAGACACCCATACAGGCAAGACACCCGAGCACATGGGATCAGAAGAGTAAAAATAAATAAATAGATAGATAGATAGATAGATAAAGGACAAGTTTCTTTTTCCTTATGACTATTATATGCACATGCACATTATAAATACATAAATACAACTTCATGGGTTGCTGGTGTGTATATGTTTTAGAGCTGACCATTTGGCATTGGATAACCAATTAGGGGGCTCAGCCATGGGGAAGACTGATTCTCCCTCTCTCCGCAGTCATTAATCACATATAGTCTTAATCTAGGGGTGGGGGCATGTGGGATTTTTGAGAGGAAAAAATTTTAAACACCTCCATTGATTGTTCCTCCTAGTCTATGACATCTGTGAATTGCAGATGGCAAGCAACCAGCATTTTCAGAGACCTAATTAAAAGTAGAGCATGAAGAAAACAGACTCCCCTCCTCTGATGGGGTTTCCATGCTCCGGGGGTGGGTGGGCTCTCCACCCACGCAAATAAGGCAACACTAATTGGACTCAATGGGGGTTAACAAAAAAAAAGAGGTGTGAAGTCGAGAGAGGGCCTGGTTGGTGAAGAGGGGAAGATGGTCTAGAATGAGTTGAAGGGAAATGTGAGAAATAGATGTGACCAAGCTAAGTTCTCAAAGAAGACATTGAAGTCTTTTAAAAGGCACCAGATAGGCAAAGAGGATGGACATCAGAAGAAGGAGAAAACAGGGAACAAGTCAGGAGCCTGATACAGAGGACCTCTGAAAGGCTCTTCCCTGCAGACTATCACAGCAGATGCTGAGTCTTACGGCCAACTGTTGGGCAGAGTGCATGGAATCTTATGAAAGAAGTGGGAAATAGTAAGATCTGGAGAGGATAGGAACTCCACAAGGAGAGCAACAGAACCAAAAAATCTGAGCTCAGGGGTCTTTCCTGAGACTGATACTCCAACCAAGGATTATGCATGAAGATAACCTAAGACCCCTGCAAAGATGTAGCCCATGGCAGTTCAGTATCCAAGTGTATTCTATTGTAATAGGAACAGGGACTGTCTCTGACATGAACTGATTGGCCTGCTCTTTAATTACCTACCCTTGAGGGGGAAGCAGCATTACCAGGCCACAGAAGAGGACAAGGCAGCCACTCTTGATGAGACCTAATTGACTAGGATCAGAAGGAAGGAAAAGAAGACCTCCCCCTATCAGTGGACTTGGGGAGGGGCATGCATGCAGAGGGTGGAGGAAGGGAGGGACTGGGATGGGAGGAGGGAGGGAACCACAGGGGGGATACAAAGTGAATAAAGTATAATTAATAAAGGAAAAAAAAGAAAAAAATGAATAAGCTTAAAAAAAAAGGCACAAGTAAGATTAAAGCAATGTTTTTTGAGGCCAAAGAAAAGAAATTTATTTAAAAATAAGTATGTCCCAAGACCTTAGACCCAAGACAGAAAGAAGGGCAAAGACTTGCACAGCCTTAAAGGGAAGTTCTAGGCCTCCATTCACAAGCTGGTTGTTAGGGCATCGGTGGTTAAGGGCAGGAGGTTACGCGGAGAAACCGGGACATGACTGTTCTCTAAAGGATGGCTCTGGTCCCAGGTGCTCAGCTCACGGCTCAGCAGCAGGTGTTGCAGGGGGAGGACCTGCAGGTGGTGCGGCAGGGGGCAGGCTGGCAGCAGGGCGGCCTGCAGCAGGGAGCCTGCACCGAGATGGGCTGGCAGCTGGTGGAGGCCCAGCAGCAGGGCCTGCAGACCACGGCGGTGCAGGAGCTGGGGCAGCAGGTGATGGGGCGGCAGCAGCCCTGCTGCAGGCCGCAGGGGTCGCAGCAGATGGGGCGGCGGCAGGGCTCACAGATGGGCCTGGTGTAGTGGGGCACGCAGGTCACAGGGCGGCACACTGTGGTCTGGCAGGACACTGGGCGGCAGCAGCAGGGGTCGCGGCAGCAGCAGGGCTGGTAGCAGCCTCCCCCACAGCTCTGGGAGGAGAAGGATCCGCAGCAGGAGCCGGTCATGCTGGAGTCTGGGCTGGAGTGGGACTGAGAGCTGGAGAGCGGGTAGGTGTTCTCAGGTGTGAGGTCT